AAAATGTAGGGCATAATAATGAAGCTGCTGTTCTATCAGACTGAAGATGCTGTCGAATTTGTGTATGAACCTTTAATCCTTTTAAATGATATGTTATCATCTCTCAGATTATATCAGATCCCTCACCTAGGACCATGGCCTTCATCTTCTGTGCTTGCACCAGTACCTGTAGAGACCAACAGGACTTTATCATTTTATCAGAAGCACAGTAGGTCTGAGATAGGAAGACCCACAACTGGTTCTACTGCAACCCAGTCTTCTGCCCAGACTATTGAAGTTTTGGCTATACTGTCCCTGGAGGTATTTAAACTACACGTAGACATGGCACTTAGGGACCTGGTTTAGTGGTGGACTTGGCAGTGCTAGGTTAACGGTTGGACTCAATGATCTCAAGGGTCTTTTCCAACCTAAATGATTCTATAATTCTATGTATCATTAATTTTAGATTATAATAATGGCTTTGGGGGAGAGGGGTTAACTTGAAGCACAAATACTGCCTCAAATCGTAACTCTTGGGCTCCTTCCAAGTGCTTGTTTTCCTTTATTTCTTCTTCTTAAAAAAAAAACCCACAAAAAATCCAAAGCCGCCAAACAAAATTAAAACCATCTCACATCCAGACTTTGAACCCAAACTCTTATTCCCCATAAGCACACAGCTCTCACTAAATCGGAGAGCTGCATCCAAAAGCTGAATTTGATTCAAACATGGTCTGGTATGAGCAGAGACTGAAGTCCCATTTTTTCCTCAGCCTTAGTTGTTTGAAATTTTGCACTGTAGCAAGGTCAAGGCCTCTTCCTGCTTGGACTGGACACCTGGCTTGTGCTTTCAGACCACAAGAACGTACTCTCGCTTTCAGCTAATTATAGACACTTCTAAATACTGATTTGAATACATATGCAGGCAATTAGGGATTCAAGGACACAAATACACTCTACAAATACACTCTACCTTTTTACAACCTCCTCATTGGATGGGAGGGACAGACAAGACAGGATCCCACCAGGCAGGTCTTCTCACATTATGGTGTCAGCAGACTCACCCCTGAATCCCCATCTCTCACTTATTCAGTATATTTTTAAAACAATTAAGCCTTGGTCTACACAAGCTGCTTTTCTTTCTCACCTTCCCAACAGCACTGGCTAAATTAACAGAAAACATGAATACTACCATACTTCTACCAATTACTTAATTAGCCTGTGCTCAGCCATGCTATTTCCTGTGTTGCTTTCTCATTCTGTGCAAGGAACTGAAGATCTCAAGATTGTATCCAAAGCATCTTCAAAATTACAGTAAGATTTATACTAATCCTCATCAGTTGTGGTCATTTTCATCTGTCTTTCACCGATTTCCATTTATTTTTGAATATTTAGGCAACATCCACCATACTGCAATCTGGTAACTGGGACCGAAACTTTTAACTTCAGTGCTACGAGTGAAGTTCATCATCCTTATGGATCACTGTCACCAAAGAGAAAAAAAGGAAGGGAGGGAAGGAAAGCAAGCCTATTTCTGTGGGGGGAAAAAATCCCTCAAAACACGAAGTTTCTTTAGATGTCTATAACCATTAAAAGCAATATCAAAGAATAAATTTAGGCTGAAGAGCTAAGGAAGACAAAAGCTGTTTTCTACACTCATCTTTCAACTGAGTAACTCTTGCAAGAACTTGGCTACTGTTGGCTTAGGACCTATAGGCTATACACTGACAAAAGGGAGCAGTTTGGGAAAGGTACAGTCAAACAAGCCTAGTTCAGGGGACCGGAGCAGAAATAAACAGTCACTCCTGAGCACTTGACAATAAACTGTTTGGATTTCTCAGTATTGTATGTAAAAGCCACACTTCTCTTCACTTACCCATTAAAGTAACTAAAATTTTCGTGACTCATATTTAGTCACTTTTTTGGCAGCTCGGTCTGGCTTTCACCAAGTCAAGCCCACTAAGCAGAAATCCACAACCAGGAAATGTTAGACTGAAACAACGCAGACCTTTGGAAAAAGGAAAGCAACGTCCTCAAGAAATAACTTGGGAACTCACTGAACCACCTAAACCCCTTAGATATACATATATTTACAAAGTATTTTCACTTCTAGGTCCAAAGCTATTTTTTGAAGAGTGCAAGCAAACAAGTTCACAGGAAACATTCAGAAATTGCTCAGTCACAAGGACAGGCAGTCCCACACAGGCGAGCCCTGGAGGCAGAGGAGGCACTGCCATGCCTAAGGCTGCCATTTACTGTCCCAAGCCCTGCAAGCTGGGTTACGATCACAAGAGGAAATCAGTGAATTACCCCAAAGGTGCTGGAGAAACACAGCCAGATATGGAACTAGGGAGAAATCCCACCCCTTTATGATTCAGGCTAAATGCAGAGAAAATAAGGATATATTCCACTCCAAAAGGATCTGGAGAACAAAGACACCACAGTAGTAAGGCACAAAAATTTTAGACAAAGATGACTTCAAAAATTACTTTTTTTTTTTTTTTTTGAATCTCCGTAACTTAACACTCAGTTTAAAGCTTATGGGACCACCGCAGTGCTAACTATGATGTATCTTCAGTAAAATTTATTCACCTATTCACCAGTGCCCTGGGTTAAGTAAAATGCAGCACTGCAGTAATACACACAACTGTCACAAAAAAATCCAACCAATTGCTATGGTCTTCCAAAAATAATATACCAGAAACACTCTTACATGACGTATTTAATGTTTCTTTTCAGCACCCTCCTCAATGTATTTGGATAAGATTGTCTGGCTACACTTTACTTCCAAACCTATCTTTATCTTATTGTGCATGCAGACCTATTCAAAAGCACATGCTGGCTCCTGGAACTGCAAACCAGCTGACATAATCTTGGAGTTGTAACAAGCTTTGAACTTCCTGAAAGACAATCAAGACCAATTTAGTTTCTGAAACAAAATCCCATCACATAGAAGAATCATGAGAGTAAAATCATGAGTAAGAGATGCTAGGATACACTACCCAGAGAGAAACTTCAGCTTTACACACCAGCAAAACAGGGCAAAAAAGGACCTGATTTCAGAAGGTACCAATCCCTAAAGGCATCTTCTTAAAATAAGGTTTGTAGCTTTATGGCGTACTTCTACATGGTCAGGTTTTGATGTCGTTGCTTTGTTAGCTTGTTTTAAATTTGTTTTGAACACTTGTTAATAACAATGCAACAAGATGAGTTAGCAGTTTCCTTAGTATGATGCTATGCACAGAAGTTTGTTTTATCATTCATTGAATTCAGTGGAAAATGAAAATCTCTAACTTCAGACCATGGACACCACGCTCTGGAGAACTAGAGAAGCCACAATAAAAAAGCAACCACTGTGATCTCCCTGAATTCACCAATTACTGCATTAGGGTATGGGAAAAGGGAAAAGGGAAGAAAAAGAAAAAAGCAATTGATGTGGAAGGGAGTTTTAATTCTTCTCAGTCCGCACCTGGATGATGTCACATGAGATCTCAGTAAGGTGAAGGTACATGCAATACTGTGGTGAGACCACTCAGATGTGACTGACTTCTCTGGTATCAGCAGATCATCCCGCCAACGGTGAGGCTCAGTGCCCCGAACCTTATCTGACATTGGAGCAGAAGAGCTGCAGGGCTATCCAGTGTTTGGATTATGAGGCCACTTAGATACTTATGTAGTGTAAACACCTATCAGGCTTCCTTATTTTGAATTTTCAATATTTGGCTGCAAAACCCAGCTGAAGGGCAAAGACGTCATCCACCTAGGCTAGATGAAAGCTGAGCTGATGAGGAGTACAACCCTAGACTGAAGGTCAGACTGTCCTATACAGCATCTACATTTTGCCTCTAGGCTGAATTTTCTGAGAACATCTATGGCTAGTTGCCTCCCAGAAACTTCTGCTATCAGCTGTAAAGAAAATCTCTTTTCTTTTGCATGTTTCTGGGTCCTCGTCTAGTTTCATTGTGGTTAATAGCCTTTTACTTTTGAATATATACAAGCTATTATTGGAGTACATTTATATCCCTGTACAAGTACTGACATAGAACATAATTTGTGACACTGATTTGGTTTCTTATACACCCACAAAAGCTGGAATTTATACAGTCTAACCTTCAAGTTCTTCACATGAAGCTGCACTTAGTATTTGCATCCTTGCTTTCCATAACGTAGCATTTCTGGTTCTTACAAAATCCTTCTCCTTATTTTTGTATTTGTTTTACTCCTCAATTTGCAGTTTGAGTTTTGGCAGCCAAATACATCAAAGTGACGTTTTTAAAGACTGCTATATATGTCAGTCTAAGAAAATTCAAATGAGCAAATCCACCACAACTATGCATTCATTAGTGCACTCTATTTACTATGAGATCATCCAGCAGAAAGATCCCTTGGTGTGACTGTTCTCCCCTCGCTAATAACTCCTCAAAACACTGAAGGAAGTCTCCCAACTTGCAGCCTGGGTTTCCTGGTCAGATGAAAATCACATGCATTCATTTGGGCCACAACAGAGTAAACCAGCTTTCTAATCCAGTTACACACCTTTTCCGCATCACTCTTCAAACCCTACCTTTGCCAGTTATCTTTCAAGTGCAAAGAAGAGAACGTAAACCTCTGATTATGTGTTTAACTCCAAAATATCATCTAAAAATTGCTTCCAGCCAACTGACCTTAAGATATGACCATCTCACTGTTTATTCCATAGCTACTAACCCCACTTAAAGAAGTTGTTTTGCTCTGTGCCTTTTGACACTTAGAATTATCTGGTGAAAGCTCTAGAACTCTTTTTCTTTCTTAGGATTGCAGATTTTCAGTATAATTTACAAGAAAATACAGACTATTGATATTTGAATTTTCCACTTCATCCTGCTCAGTGGTGAGCATTAATCCCCCCTTAATTTTCCTGCATAACATTCAAGAATCGGGACCAAACGGAGAAACATGTTCCAAGACAACTAATGCAGCAAGTTACAGCAGATCTGTGAGAGCTCCAGAGCAATAAAAACAGCTTTTGGATGCATTTCCTTTACCTCTCAGGATGTAGTTCTGATAATTCTGGTCAGCCTCTGCTCCCACTTTGATTAAGCAAGTCAGACCTTCAGCGACAACAAACTCATGAACCAAGTCCTTGTCATCCTGCCATAGGAGAAAGGAAAAGCTGCGTTACAATTTTGAAAGACAAAGAAACAGAATATATTATAATGTGAAATCAAATGCGTGCCTGCGTCATTGACTTTACATCTCCAATGATGTAAGCAAGTACAGAAGACCATAAGCAAAATTCTGAATGTTAAAATCAGAATTAATACATTTATGGAAAGCAAGAAAAAACAATCCTTTACCTTTAAGTCAACTACAGAAGATTAATATCCGTAAAACACGACTTTTGATTTTTTTCATTAAGGGCCTGCAGACATTCTACCTGATATTAAAATCTCATCATATCACATGAACAGGCACCCTTAAAGCCTTAAAGGTGCCTTAAAGACTTAAAGGGTCAGTATCAGAAACAGAAGGCCATCTATATGCCTTAGCATAATTCCAGTTTTAGTGTCTGAAGCGCCTACAAAACTTTTAAAATTGGTGTTTATTGCAATGTAATATTATATTCATTATTTTAATGTCATATTAATTCACTGTATTTAGAACGGGAAAGTATGGTGTTGAATATATGAACACTAGTAGAAAATATTCCTACATTATGATGGAAAACAGCGAATGTAAGAGAAAATACTCCTTAGTATTTGATGTGAGATAAACTGGTTAAAGTGACTCACTTCTTTTAACCATCAGTCCTTTACTCAGTGCAGTAGAATGACCCCATATCACACACCAGGGAGAGGAGGGCTTCGCCAGGCACTACATGCATAACACTATGCCAAGGGACTACAGAGCACTGTATCTAAAGCTTGCCTTCTCCTCTTACAAAGGCTATTAAAAACTTGATTAAACAGCACTTAATGAATTAGCCATACAAATTAGGCACGAAACCAATTTAAAATATTAATAGAAGAAAGTACAACGTGGACAAAATCATCATAGTTGCCAAGTCCCTTCTTCTGATTATTTTTAATATATGTTTTCCATACACAACTGCATTAGATAGAAATTCCAGCTTTCCAATAACACAGCCCTGAGAAGCTAAGATCCAGACAGTAGATAGTTTTGCTAAGAGTAATTTCTGAATTCACCACAAACACTCAGAAAACCACCAAAGGAAATAAAATAATCAAGTCCCTTTTAGTGTGACAATTCACTTATTGCAAAGTTCTTTCAGCCTGACAGATTATTTCTTATAAATTTCCTTCTTCCTCCAGAGCTAAGTTACATAATTCTTAAAGGCTGACCAAATGGGATATTTAAAATTGTAAGGTGATCTAGCAATTCGTAACAAATGTAGAAATTATGAGAGAAATCTGTTTAATGTTTCAGGAGAAGGTCAAATTTGTTGAAACAACTTAAATACACGTTTTACAGTCATATATTGATACACAAATTTATCACACAATAAAGATGATTTAGCCTTCAAAAAGTATATAAGGAGGAATCATACAACCATTCCCCACATCTTTGCAAAACTGTACCATAAAACCCCCAAATATGCAAGATAAAATCTACAGCTGTGCACACTTGAGCTAAAAATTTTATTTCTTAGTGTCAATATTTTCTTTTGCGAGGGTGTTATTTTTTAACTTAGATCGATAAAAGCCTTGATAATGTTTCCTGAAGAGCTAGGAAGTTTACGAACTCCCATGTCGGGCCAGGGCACTACAGATGCAAGCACACAATTTTATGAAGGTGACAAATTTCCCCTATCCATTCGTCGTACTCAAAAGACAGTGGGATTACTAGCGAGTAGAGGAAGAGTCCACTGACAACGTACCTGTTCATACAGACGGCACTAATTAAGTCCTGATTTCTTCTGTTGTACATAATTCTTTTTTAAAAATAATTAAATTCGTGTTTTAAAGGTGCATGCATAGCTCCCCCTCCACTGCAGCCCACCAGGGAATTCCTTTTGCCATTCCAGAAGAGAACTGAAGAATGAAGATGGCTGTTTACATTGAGCAACTAAGGACCTTTTTACAGCATGGCACCTTTGGCAGCACAGAGGCTGCTGTGCCTTTGGTCAAGCTGCCAACCTAAAGAGCACATCCCAATGCACAGGACAGGGGACAATGAGAGGCATGGTCAGCCAGGACACATGGACCTCTGCCTGTCCCATCCCGAGCAGCAGCCTCTGGCAAAGCCCTTCCCAAATGCCATCAGTCAGAGGACTGAACTCTTAATTCTGAAACAATTTATCTCAAGCTAATTTGTGCAGAAGTGATGCCAAAATTCACATGGGGAACTTCCAGAACGACACAACAACTGCAGTCCTAGAAAAATAAGAAAAAGACCCCAGATAAAATGCTTTCTAATGATCAAAGCCGTATCTCAGGTTCATTCCCCCCAAACTTGGGATACTTGATTTAAAGTAAAACAACTACAAATAAACAGATAAATAAAGATGCATGCACGCAATACATAGATCCAAACCACACCAGACAGCAAGTAACATTCAAGCTCACCTGTGAAGGACAGTCTGACTTTTTGCCTTAAACAACCTGGTTTGCAGATTTTATGTAAATGTCTTGACCAAACCTGTTTTACAGTGCAAGTTTTATGTCTTAGCCCTAAAACCAGCCTGCTTCGCAGTACAGCCTGCTCCAGGGAGGGAACAAGCCCTGTGAAGGTGGAACAGTGCTCCCTCCTCAGAGATAAGAGAGTGAAGCGGTGCTCCCTCCTCGCAGATAGGAGGGTGGAGCAGTGTACTCCCTTCAGAAACTTTAGTTGGGGTCATCGATAAAGGGGGGCTTCAGTTGGAGCGGCTACCCAACCTCCCCCATCCAAACGGACAAACCCTGCAGAAGAGGGGTGTTACTGGACTTGAGGTCCACTCCCTTATCTGTAGTGGACAGAACCCCCTTGGACCCCCCAAAATGTTGCATACTGCACCTGTGTCCTGGTTAGCATGGAAAGTGAAAATAGGAGGGGATAACGTGAACAGGACTCATGAATATTAATGCAAAGGGACAATAAAAATACCAATAATCAAGACACAGGTGTGCACCCACCCCTGAAGAACCAAAGATCAGACATCGCTGGACCCCAGGAGTGGTGACCCTTCCCTTCCCTTCCCTTCCCTTCCC